CAGCTTAGAACTGTCTGGAGAAATTTCCTGACAGTTAGAACAATTTATCAGTGGAACAACTTGCCTCCAGAAGTTGTGAATGCCCCAACACTGGAAGTTTTTAAGAAGATGATGGATAACCATTTGTCTGAAGTGGTGTAGGGTTTCCTGCCTAAGCAGAGGGTTGGACTAGAAGACTTCCAAGGTCCCTTCCAACTCTGTTATTCTATCTGGAGATTGACTGCAAACCCTTTGTAGGCTTTTTACTCAAAATGGGGAAAAATGAATTGCTGGTTAAAAAGATTTGTTGAGAAGAAGAGAATGATGGGAGGGTGAAGATGGTAACTACAATGTTTGCCACAAAGTAGATGGTTAGTTACTTTTCTTCTTGCATTTTTGTTATTCACATGTTCTTTTATCCTTTTATCGTCTTTTCCTATTCCTTCTATATTTATGCAGTTTTCTAAATCTCTATTTTAATAAAAATTATTCATAAAATAATAACGTTATATTGCTGCCCAACTCACAAACAGTAAGAGACCTAAGCTGGCCATTCTCTTTTAGCCCAACCAACTTTGTGTAACTGTTTTAGGGAATGAAGATCTCTTTCCGCACTGTCCTGATTTGGACAAAAGTTGGGATATATACTTCTAATAAATAAATAGAGTTTTACGTCTTTTTTGTTTTATTTTAAATGGACAAAAGTCCACTTTATCAGATGCATAGAGTGTCGCAAAGGTGCTTTTCAAAGAGGGAACTGGACTTTCTGGTTTTTCTTTAAAGACATTTTACTTCTCATCTAAATAAGCTTCTTCAGCTCTGGCTGGATGGTGGGGAATAGGAGCATTTATATTTCTTGCAGACAGCTGCACATTTCCATTCTTTTGGAGAGTAGTTGAGGCCACCTGGAGGTTTAACTGTGTCATCAGCGTTAACTAAGTAATCCAAATAGGTGTGGAGCCTTCTTGGAACTGTTGAGAGGACTATGTTGTAGATTGGAGATAGATGATGCCGTACCTCCCCCCCCCAATCCATTCAATTTTGACACAGATCATCTCTTTGACCCCTCTTTCAAACTAGTGGTCCTCTTTATGCAAAATGTGGACTTTACTGTCTCCAAAAGAGTGGCCCTTGTCCAGTGGTAGGATTCAAATAATTTAACAACCGGTTTTCTGTCCTAATGACCAGCTGGGTAGGCGTGGCTCGGTGGTCATGTGACTGTGGGCGTGGCCAACTCAATGTCACTCAGGTCGATAGGAGCTTTGCCTTAGCTGTTACAATGTCATAAGGGTTAATCGGAGAGGCAGTTTCTGTAAGCAGGGCAACAAACCAGAATGTTTCCTTCCTGCCTTCCTTACANTAATTGTCTCCTGCAAACTCCACTCCCCTTTCACTCCTCTTTTATTTCCTCTGGGAGGGCCATTCATCATCCACCTGTGGCCTTACTCCCAAGTCGACCCCTGTTCTTATGCTGTTCCCTTCGTCTGGCAACTCTGCGCATGCACGCACTGGAAACAGGCTCCAGCTGTTCGTCTTCCTCACTCTGCAGGCAGCTGATAACTAGCATACAGCTCTGGCTCCCTCTCTGCCTCCAATGCAGGGCCCTCATCAGAGCCTTCCCCAGACTCCAGGACTGGCCCATGTTCCTCCCCAACCTCCTCACTGTCTGAATCTGCTTCCAGCTCTGTTGTGCGGGCCACAACAGGCACTACATAACTTCTGAAAACTGTATTGTTTTGAATGATATTGGCATTCATACCAATATCATTGGCAGAAGATACCTATTATTGAACTAAATAATTCTTGTGTTTTAATCAGACACATTTTCCACACCAATGCATGGTGAAAACCACATTGCATTGTTACAGGAGTTGACAACCTTTTAAGACACCAGGGACCATGATCTGATGGTGCAGGTGACATCCAAACAAATTGAAACACAAGCAAAAAAAGAAGTCAAACTAGCTGTTTTAAAAAAATGCCTTACATGAGATTCCCCCCATCCCCTAGAATTACTAGACTTAAAGTGAGAATATTTGAAATCCCAGAAATGTTGCAATCTTTCAAGAGTTCATCTGTTGATTGCTCTTCAGTCTGTTTTCCAAGGGTCCAGGGGTGGGAGGCCTCTTTTGAGGGCCATGTTTCCATCAGAGCACTATTTGCATTCTAGTAACTTCGAATTAGTATCTCCGTGTTGTATCTCCATTAGTATCTCCATCCTGCTGCAATAGAATACTAGGAGCAGGTACTATATCCCTGCTGGCATAAGCAACTTGTGATAATGGTGGTCCAGGTTAGTCCAGACATGTGTAGAAAAATAGCATGTGATGTGAAACAGAAAGCAAGCTTGTAACATTTGACCTTATCACTGGGTCAAAAGTTACACTTTCTCAAAAATGGTTTTGCAAATCTTTTTCAGAGCTGATAGATACACACCTTAGCTGGATACAAAACATTATATGAAACAGAAAGGCTGTGCTTTTTTGATCCAAGCAAACAAAGTCCCAGGTAATTTACTTTTTTTTCCCTCCTGACTTTTGTCTAGCTTCAGTTCTTCTTAAGCTTTCTTTGACTTGGCTGGTCTTCTGCAAATGTCTTCTGGGTTGCTTGCTCGGTTGAAAATTGAATTGCAGAAACATCTAATATTTTGTGGGAAAGGAAAATGCATTTGGGGTAGGGTTGAATGGTGGCTACATGTTTTCTTTCAAAATGGTTGAAGTTTTTTTGTTTTTTTAAAGAAATGGGGTGTCTTTAAATGAGTAGGAAATGAATGGAGATTCTCAGTCATCCAGGTAATGTCTGTCCTAAAAGTGGTTTTTCTTTTCAGTTAAAAGAAAGATCATTATGATCCAATAAACAATGTTGATAGGAACACTCAACTGATATTTTTT